GTTTTTCAATGGACTACGGAGGTCTAGCTCAATCGTATTTCAGTTCTGCGCCATATACTACAAGATGGATTATGTAAAGAATACAAATGTATGCTACAAAGGAATTGTTCGAATATCTCTAGGTTTCTCGGCAAACATGAATTAATTGTATCGTTTGCAATTATCCCAATGGTGGCTTTGATAACGAGGCCCATAAAACCCATAGGAGATGGAAGTCCGGGAAGTGGGTATAGTGAGCACGGGTATAGTACAATGCTATGTCGTTGGGTCTAGAACTGCTACCGCGTCTACAGTGAGAATGTTGCGTTGATTAATGCAGCGCACGGAGCTTTGCATGAAAAATTTCTAGTGCGCAGCCTCCGGAGTTTATATGAAGCCGAAGAGCTTCGTACTCTTCTGGCTGTGTGTCGACGGCGTCGGTGACCGCGAACGAGAGTGTGTCCGCGATGAGGGTGCGGAGCGCGAGTGTCGCAAAGAATCCTTCTCCTTTCCGGATCCATCGAGTTGGGGAACCTCGAGATACATTGGAGGAGCCTCCTTCTCCTTGATATCGTTGGGATCTGGTCTGACGACGATGTCGATAACCTCTGCACGTAGTAGACGAGCGACAGCCGCTGGCCATGCACTCTCAGAAATTCGCACCGGCTTACGCTCTCCGCTCATGTTTGCAACAATCACAAATGTAATGCGGTCGCGTGGAATGTTCTCCAGCTCGTCTGGGAACTCCTTTTGCGCAAAATCTAGTGCTTGCTGTTAGAAAAAGGGCAATGAGTATATGAATCACGGAAGAGAAAGAGGACACTGCTCACTTCATAGTTGTCCGCAGGTCGTACATAGACGAGTTTGTGGTTGTACCGGTAGGTAATGATATCTGCAGGAATGGTCGGACCCGTGCGGTACATTGCCATAAAAATGTGGGTGTGTTGAGGTCTAGAAACTTGAGCTTGAGATGGGTGGGGTGGATGCTGTTACAGGAAGGACGTACGTTCAAAACTGTCGTATTTATCCTTACACGAGCACTGCCATCATTTTGGTAGCGTGTCGGCAGTGCCCTGATTCGATCGGCTGTACTGGTACATGCCCGAATTAGGCAATCAGGCGCTCACCGACTCCCGAGGATCCTGAGTCGAGGCGGTCGCGCGCTGTGTCTTCTTTGACGACATTTGACTGCTAACAGAGGTTTTGAATATTTACTGCACATCGCCTGTGCCTATCAAATCCAAAACCGAGCGGTTGGCGATGCTTATAGGTGTAAATTCTTGGAATTGAATTGATATGCTAATGCGCTCATCAGTGTACAATGCATTGCAAATTATTGACAACAACTAACGGCCGTCGTTGGTAGAACAAAGATAGTTGTTGCCGAACAAATTAAACATATTCACCATCAAGGAATTTTTGAGGTGTCAATACATGCTATTATAGGAAGTGCTTACGGTATGGTAGAGTACATAAATGGGAATGAGAATGATGCTTCGAAAAGGCGGGATCCTCGAGGCAAGCTTAAATCCATTAATTGTAATGTCCACGAGTACGCGGCGTGAATCATGCTTCTACGTCTCCCAACATCGAAAACAAACTGCTGCCAGCATTCTTCTTCGCTCCTTTCACTTGCACTACAGGACTCACAAGAGGCTTATCCTTCCTTTCCTTCTTTATTTTTTTCGTCCGTTCCTCTTGAAATGCTTCTTCTAATCCATCCGTGACTGAATCAACTAGACGTGATGGGATTACACTGTTGTTGACCGGCCGCATGCCTGTCAAATATGAGTGGAATAGTTTTCCGGAGAGTAAATGTGCCGGCGAAGGTGCTCGCTCAACAAGCATAAGCACCTGGGCAAGTTGTTCAATGCTCTCTAAAGCCATCAAAAGCTGCGCCATTAATTGCACGTTTCGATCAACAATAGTTGGAATCTCTGCATCTTCTATGCTTGGAGCTAAAGATGCTTGCGTTGCCCATGGAAGGGAAGCCAGGAAACAGCGTGCCTCGGTTTTCGTCCACCTTTCTTTCTCTCTATCTTTGCTACCTGTTTCCGAAGCACGTACATGGAGACAATGAACAACCCAACGGACGGCAAGTATAGGTATGAGTTGCTCCTGTGGCAATTCTCGAATAGAAGCCAAGTCGGATTCAAGTAAATGAAGGAAGACGGTCAATCGGTCTTCTTCGTTCCTCAAAAGTAGTGGTGCTGTATGCTGAGTTTTAACGTTAGGTATGATAGACAACAACAGCACAGGCAGGGGGGCGACTTTCAGTGGCTCTTGAGCTATACGTGTTCCGCGTCGAAGGTACTCGATGACTGAAGGGTCTCCGTTCCGGAACGTTTTCCGCGATACAACGGAGGCTGGAGGTTCCGTGGCCTCATCTTCAGAACGAAGGCGCTGCAGCTCACCTTTTAAGGGCGCCAAGAAGTCATCATCCTTCGTGCTATCCTCATCATCCGATTCAACAACGTCGACTATTTCATCGCCATCAGATTCTTCTGAATCATCGACCGATGGCTCCTCTGGAATAGATGTGCTCTCTTCCTCAGTGGTAGGTAACCCAATTGCATCGTCTAGTATTGAATATACCCATTGTCGAATGGGACGTCCAATACTTCGACTCACCGTTTCTAGATCAGGATTCTCTAGGAACAACCTCGGCCAAGATGATCCTGTGCTGAGAATGTCTATGCTTTTCGGGAACAACTGGCCGTTCCGGTAGGCTTCAAGGTATAAACTTCGAACGTTAAGTAAATCCTCTGTATGTCCCGGGGGTTCTTCCGATTCTTCGGCTACTTTTCTCGAAATCATAGGTAAAAATGGGCAACTGTCTGGATGGTGCAAAGCGCAAACGTCCGTGATCCACAGTCCTGCGTCACCCGCAGCATCTCCTTCGTATCGGGGTATGGCATACTGAAGGGTTGACTCAACGATTTTGTCCACGATGGACTCGATTTCACCAGATCCCATTGTCGTAATTAAACGTGCCAACAACGCATTCACCGTGCGATCAATGAGATCCATGACACTGCCCACCTGGTGCTTAAATTTGCGCTTTTGGGAAGTGGGCGAGAGTACAGAACGTATGGTGTTGGCAACACGTTCAATGCGCTGACTCGAACTGAGCTGTCGGTCAAAGAACAATGATTGCGCATTCCGTTTATTCGACTCCGACTGACTTGAGAAGTCATTTCCAACCAGCGCGCCAAGCAAGGGAAGTAAAGTAACCGGTATATTGATATGCGATGCCAGAGTCTGTGGGTTGTAGGATGTAAAGGACAACTTGGTTCGATCTGCTGGATCAGGGGGGAGAAGGCCTCGACCAACTGTGGGGTGGTTGGTAGCTTTCTTTTTTGCCTTGGGTTTACGGACCATCTGAAACTCGACATCATCGCCCTCAAGGGACGGCGTTACATCTGTAGAGGGAATATGCCATACCATCTCGTCCAGCGGTATATACCCGAGATAGCCCTCGGAATTCAAAACAACGAAGTCTGAGTCATTCCCGACAACATAGCCACCTATTCGACCGGCTAGCTCTACGGCGTATGGATCGCCTTCTTCATCTGCGTAATGTATTTCCAGAGCATCAGTAGTTTGGCGAAGTTTTTCGAGAGCGTGTATACATGTTGCATACGACAGAGGAGGGATAATTCGTGTTTCGTTGAGGAACCGCGAAGTAGCACGAGAGACGGGAGACGTGCGAAAAAACAACAATGATGGCTGTATATGCGATTGAGATAAACGCGATATCACAGTTGGGAATTTCAGCTCGGGACAGGCTCCTAAGATTCAGGTTAGAAATAATTACCGAGATGGCTTTAGTTCCCACAAACCATCGAACACAAAGTAAACTTTGAATCCAACCTTTATCCACGCATCGACGACAACACAGACTAGTCTAGAGAACTCTTCGTATTCTCCTCCGTATACCCATGGTAGATTGGAGTTGTAGTGCAAGCCGTAGATGAATCTGAGTGGGATTAATTTCAATTGTTTCAAGCGATAGTACCATTCAAAACTCACGACCATCCGTCTACAACAATAGATACCGTACCATTTGAGGGAAGTTCAAACGTTTTCGACAATACACGCTTGTTCTCTCGCAAATATGTTGTCAGTCCATGTACGCCCATACTCCATGTGAGCAGCTTCGAAATTGCTGTGGTGATTGTGAAGAAGAGAGCGCTGATGGCTGTGTTTACTCCCAAAGAAAGTGCCAAATAAGTAGAAGGCATTCCCGCGCTACTCGAGCGAGCAGTCAGTTTTCACTAGCAAAGCACTGCTCTGCATCCAAATGCATCCTTATGGATTATTAGACCTTACAGATCGAAATGAAGATCCTGTACCGTGCACTTGAATGCTATACTAAATTCACATCCAAAACTTGTTGAAATAAGCGACGTAACGTTTGACCTCGGTGAGCTCGTGAGGCAAACGGATAGTGTACAATCTCGAAAGTACACTACTTATATACGAAATATCTACATAATTAGGATATATATATCAATGAAACTCAGCCACAAAAATGCAAATATGACTGCGGGCGTGGTCCGGATCGCGCTCACTCGTAAATTTAATTACAATATTCCAACAAAACTATTTGAATAAATGTATTCCTCTGGACCTCAACCTTTGTTGAATCATGGGCAGTACATTAACTTTATCCGATAATGATTCGGTCTCAACTATCTGTACAAATTGGGTCCATCTTCTAGGATTCATCTATTTATTGCCCACCTCATACATGTCATTCTAATGCCGACTTAGCTATCCTCTCTCAGAAAATATTAAGGAATCTTGCTTAGTGACAATTGCAAGGCATTGCCTATCTAATGTCTTTCTCACTCACTACTAGAACTTACATCACACTCGGAAAAAGAAAGTCAGCAGATTACAGTTTTAAAACAAAGTGATTAAATTTTGACTGACGGAATGTCGTTATTCTATTGATGAGCGCTCAAATGGCAGTGTGACGCAAAAAAGATGTTGGAATAGAATCTCCCTCTGTACATGGCAACATGGCCGAGTGGTCTAAGGCGCTGGAATTAGGTAATAAATCCAGTCTTTCGAGGCGTGGGTTCGAACCCCACTGTTGTCAATCGTCTTTTTAAAGTAGCTGCTTTTTTTTTAAAAAACGCCGAAAAACTCGTGAAGGCTTTGGTGTTGCCTTATTTTCTAAAAATAGATGCTGACTCATCTATTCTACCAAAATGCTGTAATATCACGACAGGACATGTTACTACCTTCTGGTAAGCTCTAAAATTATAGCGAACGCCCTCATTGAAAATTTGCAAATCTGATTATTTATTTTTAGGATTTTCAAATAAATAATACATCTCAAATAACTATAGCTCTCAATTCTTATGTGTGTCAATACCTCATCTGACACTACCACAAAACAAGCTATGTGTCTTAATATGTAATCTGCAAGACATGCGGATCTATCTAGTTCACATACCGGAATAGCAGAAGACTAGTGTCCCAAGGAAGAGGAATTATAAATAGATTAATACCAGTTATAAAGTCTAAACGGCATGGTAGGTATATAAATATAAAAAGACACTCGAGCGATATCCTAGGGACCTTGACGTAGCTTAGAGTATTGGACGAGAAACAGGACAGATATGCGAATATCAAGGGCTTTGATGCCTCATATCTGGAGCTACCATCAACGATATTAGTACTTAATAGCTGTCAAATAGGTCGATTAAAGGGAAGAGAGAAGCAACTACAAGTTTTTGCTTTCTGCAGTGTCTGGAAGTCTAATGGGCATCCCTGACTAACACACGCGTCGTAAAGGCAATATATAAATCGGACGGTGTATATTTTACATTATCTTCGTCTTCCATTTACTAACGCGAGTACAACCAAGACCGTCTACACCTTCACTGAGAAATAGATGTCCAGACATAGCGTCACGAATCCACCTGGGTCCCTCAAGACATCTTTCTCATATGCGGACGTGGAAGAACTTGTTGCACGAAAGTGTGAAGTAGGAACGATGAAACCCGAAGTGATACTGCCTGGGTAGGTAAGGGGAGATTTACACCTGTTAGAGAAGAGAGATGACAGCAATCGCTGCCGTCAAAAGAATTTTATGTCCAATTTCTAGAATACCACATCCCGCTCTACGAAGTATCTTGAATTGTTCCTATAATATATTAATCTGATATGTAAATGCAGTTGTACAAATACCCTAAGAGATGACGAAGCTTCATACTTGATCATCGGTAATAACGATTGCTCCAAAGAGGGTGGTATCCAATGAGATGAATGGGAGTGTAATGTCTACGTCGAACACGAAACACGGCCTAGGGTGATCCCTTCTTCGGATCGTCCTCATCTGTAATATCTCTCTCTTTCCATCGTTCGTATGCTCTGGAAAACGTGCGGGAGGCTAGTTTCAATGGTTCATCTGACCAAGCCTTTTCCCAGACTCGTTGTGCAAACGAGATGTGCTCCCCAGCCTTAATGCTATCATGCGTAATAGTTAGGGCATGCACTGAGGGAGCCAGAAATTTGTTTATCTTTTCCCAGAGAGGAGGGAAGTCTGGCGGTAGGGGGACTAACAAGGAGTGGGAACTATAATAGGTCAGCCTAGTCACGAGAGAACGATAATAGTCACGTACCTTGCATCGGGGTAGGGACGAGGAGGTCGAGCGCTACCTAAAGTCGACATTTCACCAATTTCAGATGCAACGTTCTCTCCTTGTGCCTTGCGCTTCAGGAGATCCTGATAATCTTGCCACACCTCCTTTCGATATTCATGGACTGTTGTATGCTTTTGCTGCCGAGCTAAATCATATCCCATATTCTCCAACTTCTCATGCACACCCATCGAACTGTTACTTGTCCAAAGATACCACCCTTCGTCCCAACATTTGGCGTCAGCAGAGGAGGATGGAGAGCGCACAGTTGCCGTAGAAGGCGAATTTGCATTAGGATCTTCAGAAGGTTTGCCACCCAGATAACGAGGGAGGTTCTGAGACTGTCCCTCTGCAGGTAACGGATATCTTGCCTTTCCGTCGGGGCCTAAATTCGTATGTCTTTTGAACGCAACGATGTTGCGGACCTCGTGAGGGAAGACCTTGCGCACGCAAATAGAACGACAGGATGGTGCCTTGGCATTAATGCGCCCTGCGACAGACTGAGAGCAGTACGTTAAGCACCATTCATCGGTCTTTGGGGAGAAACGTCCTGTACGAGAGAGGTTAGTCAGAAGATCTGAAGCACAAAGGCAGGACGACGAACCCTGTGGGGGAGTAAGAATCTTGATAGTGGGCCAGTTTGCAAAAGGTGGCTTGCGAACGCGCTGGTTCTGCTGCTGAGATGTGGGTTGGGCCTGCCCTGTAGATGACATGAAAGGGAGATGAAGGTTGAGGATAAGAAGAGGACAAGCGTCCGGTGCTCGGTACTGTGACTGACTCCTCACATGTGCAGTGTCGGTCGATCGGCGTCACAGGCCCCACACGTAAGCGCTCTCTGATTCAAGCGGAGCTTTTTCACACCGCACTCCGCTCCATAAATTTTTGCGTTCGGGGCAAGGATACACCATCTCTGCACCGTGCTGTCTGAAGAATCGTTGTCGCAGCTCTCGCACAGGGAGCTTCGAGCTCCCTTGTTCTTGCTGTGGGGAAAGTCCCCGGAGGTACAGAGCATGTCCTCGCCCATCTCATGGAAAGCGACCGGCTCCAAGCACGACGGTACTGGGCAAGGGCGGTGAGCATGATTTGCACGGACCGAATTTCCCTTCTGGTTCCTTGCTCCATCTCGACCACTCTGTTGCTTCTTCCGACGATCTCCTGTTCGACCAAGGCGCGGGTGAGCGAAGATATGAGCATCCCTGTTGCTCGAGCGGGCGGTCGGAGGAGTTGCTCTTCGTTGCTCATAGACAAAGTTATACGATTGTAGACGCGGGTCACCGCATCGTCAACTCAATGGGGCTCACTCTCATTCAGCATGGTGCAATTTCTCTATTTTTTCCTCACATGGAGCCTCGTTGTTCCTACTTTGGCAGTATCAGGCGTGTTCATGGTAAGTTTATTTCTTACTTCGCTTACGTGATGCCTTTAATTCTTTTTGAATTGAATTTCTTCATGGTGTATACCTTGTCGACTATGGTGGCAAGGGCAGGCTCCAGAATTTGACTCTTCTGACTCTTCTTCTCCCATTTCATACTTGGTAAATGTAACTGACGTTGACTTATTTCACAGGTACATTTGGCAGTGATGTGTATAGAGTCGCTGTGGTACCTCTGTTGAGTTGATCGTGTAATGTTAGCCGTCTGTAGTGTGTAGTCAATCCTATGATTCATTAGTCTGATACATCCGTTCTAAATTCTTCCTGCTGCAGCTAATGTTGTAATCCATTGAAATTATTCCGATCCGGGTACATAAACGCAAAAGAAATAGCTTTACAGGACGATGGATATGCATACCTGCCCCTCACCTGGTCCTAATGTCCTTGTATATGAAATAGAGATAACATTTACAACTTCGACTTAAAGTGGTTGTCCGCTGGATCCTGCCCTGCGAGCTCTTCCTTTGCCCGTTCCCTCAAATCTCGTCGAAGAATCTTGCCAGCCGCACTGTATAGAATCATGTCAAAATCACTTCAGGCGCGCAATTTAGTTCTGTACTCGCCTCTTTGGGATAATATCGATGACAACGACGCCTATGAAAGGATTCAGTATCTGTCCCGAGACTCGAACCGGAGACTTGCAAGGTCAACTCACCACCGCGTAGGAACTTGTGTCGTGCCACCTTCGTTTGGATCCACTTCTGGATCTCTTTGGCAAACGCGTTCCTCTCTCCTTCTGTCTTCACTGTGTCAGGACGAGCATGAACGACATAAGCTCTTGCGAAGACGCCCGCATTAGCAGCTGAATATATTCCAGAACACAAACGAATTACCTTGGAAGTTCAGTAGCTTCTTTGGCGCTATCCACTCCAATAACAGCAGTATCGGCAATATCAGGATGCGTCAAAAGGACACTTTCCAGCTCAGCAGGAGGAACTAATTTTTCGTTAATCGCATGGGATGCTAATGTCATGAACCTCGTACCTTGGAAGCCTTTGTACTTGATGAGTTCTTTCCGTCTGTCAACGATAAAATAGAAGCCGTCATTGTCACGAATGGCAATGTCACCAGTCTTGAACCATCCATCCGAGGTGATTGAATCTTTCGTCGCTGAAGGATTGTTAAGGTATCCCTAAATTTCACTGTTAATAGCTGAACTTACAGAAAATGTAGAATGAACACTAACCTTCATGACAGTGGGACCTCGTATCCATAACTCTCCGGGCTGGCCTATGGTCGCCTCGACGTCGCCATCGCCGCCTCCGTCGACAAGAAGGCGGGCTTCAAGGTTGGGCAGGAGAGCTCCGATACTGCCTATTTTGCGTTCGCCATATGGAACAGGCACCAAGTGCGTTGTTGGCGAGGTTTCAGTGAGACCATAACCTGGAAAACGATGGTGAATACATACGAAAATTTCAGGGAGTCTTCCTACCTTGCAACATCGTTATCTTTGTGTTTCCTTTGCTTTTTGAGGCCAGGCGCGTCACCACCTTTCGTCGAAGTTAGTCGATATTTATCTGTTACGTGGAATCAAGTGGTACTTGCCTGCTTAGATAGCGCTGCTCCGAGGGGTGCCGCGCCAGAGAACAGAATCTTTAATGAAGACATATCATACTGATCAACGGCTAGTTCGCGCAAACTTAGAGAGGTTGCGGATTATAAAACGACTTAAAACGCACCTGGATGCCGGGAGAGGACGACGAGAACAGGCGGCACAATGAACGAGACTGTAATCTTGTAACGCTCGATGTTCGCACAAAATTGAACCGGGTCAAAGCGTGTCATGATAATAACGGGTATCCCGCTGGCGAAAGGGAATTGGAGTAGTTTAACGGCACCTATTGGGTGAAATGAATTAGCCATGCGCAGGAGAGGGGCTGAGGAGGACGAGGGGCGGACCATAAATATGATAGAACGGTAAAAGACCCAGCAGTTTATCAACTCCATATTTAACTTCGGGGAAACCGCATTTTACGATATCCACCAGAGACGTAACATTACGATGTGTGGTCTGTATAT